GCATGAATTTTTTAAGCCACCGGTTCCAGGACTTGAACCATGGCTCACTATGTGGAAGTCCAGCAAACCATTCCATTATGCCATCTGCTGGTCCCATAAAATGAAAATTTAAAAATGGCTCTAAAGAATAAAAAAAAAAATAGAGAGACCGGCAGGTGGCATGGTGGTTAAGGTGCTAGACTCCGACATGGCCGACCATGGTTCAAGTCTTGGACCTGGTTGCTTGCTCTTTCACTTTCTCTTTCTCTCGCCTACTCTCATCAAATTAAAAAATAATGATAACAAAAAAGTCTATGAGAATTCTTTGTACTGTTCTCGCAACTTTTTTTTTTTTTTTGAGAAGTTTTTGCTATAGGGCGCGTGCACTCGCCAGAAAGACAAAGAGAGACAGAAAGCGAGAAATCATCCCCCAGGGGGGATGGCCATGCCACAATCCCTTCTCCTCTGGGGATTTTGGGCACGCATGCACACACGCCCAGTGTGAGTTTAAGCCACCGGGTCCGGGACTCGAACCGTAGTTGACTACATGGGAGTCTAGTGACATAGCCATTATGCTAACTGCTGGCCCTGTGTTCTTGCAACTTTTCAGTAAATCTGATCTGAAACTTTGTTGAAATTTTAAAAGGGAATTTAAAAAAAAGGAAGGAAGGAAGGAAGGAAGAAAAATGGGGAATGTGTTCACGCTCTCAAATAGAGAAGAACCAGTCACAGGCAGGACTGTCTGGAAGTCCCTGACTCAGGGCAGAAACTTACCCCTTTCTCCACTCCCTCTGGTGGCTCACATGTGACTAGGAGCCCCTGGCCAGCCATGCTGCCTGCAGCCGTGGAGCCTGGCATCTGGAAAGGATCAACAGCTACCGCTAGACTCACCCCCTCCACCCCCAGCTTGCTCCTGGGAGCCTCCAAAGGCAGGCTGAGTTTTCGATGTTTCACAATAAGAATCCACAGATCACTCAGCTTCCACGGAGGCTGCTAGGAAAACTCCTTCCTGGAAGCTCCCAGAGCACTTTGCCAAGACCTCAGTCCCAACTGGGCCTCCCTGGCTCATCTGAATGGTGATTTCTGGAGGCCACGAAGCACAGGATGACAAAAGCAAGGGGCTCGGGTGGGCCCCCTGTCAGGAAGCATTGCTGAGAGCATGTGTCTGGTGGTTAAACTATTTTGTTTGCCTGGAGCAGGAACTCGGGGGCAGAGGGGAAAGGATCAAGATGGCCCTACAGAGACAGGCTTCTACATCGCACCTCTCGTCCTTCCAGCACCCCGAAAAGGAGCAGCAGTGGGCAGTACAGGTGGCATTCATGGGATCCGGGCCCTAGGAGGCTTCCAGGCTGAGCCATGCCAGCCAGGCATGTTTCTGGGTAGAGCTTCCGGTTGGCAGCAGAGGGCTGAGTCAGACTGAATCGGAGGATTAGAATCTGAGAGAGCGTGAGAACCAGCAGTTAGTGTAATGGCTGTCGCTGGACTCCCATGTAGTCGACTGCGGTTCGCGTCCCGGACCCGGTGGCTTAAAACTCACGCTGGACACATGTGCGTGCGTGCCCAAGATCCCAACAGGAGAATGGAGGAGAAGGGATTGCGGCATGGCCGCCCCCCCTGAGGGGTGATTTCTCGCTTTCTGTTTCTCTGTCTCTCTCTGTCTGTCTGGCGAGCTCACGCACCCTATAGCAA